ATTCTATGTACAATAAAAAGAAAAGAAAATACAATGAAATGAAAAGACAACAGAGAGAAGAAAAACAATCTTATAAAATCTGCCCCTTTCTTCCTCAAGTATAAATTCAAACAAACTAATCTTCAATTAACAAAAAACAAAACAAAAATCTGCCTAGAATAACAATTTTTATGGATACATATTATACTATTTCATATTTTTCAACAAACTAACTTTTATCATTCTCTTAAACATGTACATTATTTACAAGGTTTGACCAAATTAAATACAAMATAGCTATGTTTCTCTAACCTAACCCCCACAACTCATAAAAAAGACAGTGGCTGTACGCATATGTCAAGAAATGATATGTGTTTTTACTTTAGATTTTTATATATCTTTGTTTTAAATTGATTATAGTGTTTTATTTTAGTGTTAAATGGTTGTGATTTGGGGATTTATTATCAGCCCTTTGGACACCGTTGGTTGTTTTAAATGTGTTTATAAATAAAGTTGATTTGACAGAACTGACAGAACGCTGAATGCAAAGTTTCAGTTGTCACTAGGTGGCAGTAAAAGTACATGTAAAAGTAAASACCCTGGGTTATTTTCTAAGAACACTATTTATGATATTTAGAGATGTTGTTCTGCCCTCACGTTGTGGTAAAAACGTCCTCACCTATAGGAGACCTTTGGTTCTGATGACGGATTAACTGGTGTCCAGGAACAGTTTAGTCCATCAGATTTTTGAAAACACTTGAAATCCCTCACAAGCTTAGCTGCACAAAAAAAGGTACCACATATTAAAACAAAATGAAGCAACTCATAAACAGATACTAAATTCTGGTGTTGTTTTAAAGTTCTGGCAGTGTTCTGGTTCTTACCACTTGGCTTTAGTCTTGAAATGGTTACGTGTGCTTTTCTGCTTTGACTCCAACTCTCGCACTCAGTGTGAACGTTGAGCTTTACATCCCCGTTTTCTTTCAGGTCAACTACGTAGTATTTCTGAGTTGTCTGAGCGTCCTGAAAGACACGTTTCATGACAGGTTTACAGATTTAAAATACAAACTGACGTGGATATACCCACTTTAAGGTTTCTTTTTAAATTTTAATTTAACCTAATTAATCTTCTGTTCATTATTTATTCCATGTTGTAGTGTTTTTAGATAAAACTAAGCATTGCTAGTCAAAAAAAATAATTAAAAAGTTAAAAGCTTTTAAGACATTATAAATCAAGAGTGAGTCCCACACTAAGCCCACTAACCACATTACTTCATCACATACTGGTACCATTCAGTTCACCTTCTGATATGTTTCAAATACTTTCAAGAACAAAATCTGCAGAAACAAACATTTTCAAGAAAACAGTGTTTGAGTTTACTGCATGACATCTGAAACTACTTTTGAATTATTTCTTCAGTCTGTTACTAAGAAAATAGGCAAATTTTCAATTGCAGTGTGCCACAACTCAGAGTGCTGTGACCAATGAGGGGACAGGACAAAGACCTGTAGCAGGTCTGTCTCAAACATATTACAGGCAGAAAACAGGATCATTTCCCATTAAATATGACATATTTTATCAGTTACTCTTTAGAAAACAGCATAATGAAAAGTAAATACTAAACCTATTTTAACTTTCTGGTCAAGTGATAAAAAGAAAAATAAATGTGAGAATCCCTGCTTTAAAGTGTAACCACTGTGAAGGGTACGAGGAGGTTAAAGTTTACTAGCTGTGAAGCACAAACACTCCTCTTTTTTCTTGATCATACAGACAATGAACACAAGAGTCTGTGTGCAATGATGGTGGCCATTAGCTAATAGTGCAAACATTTGTAGATATTGGCTAATAGCTCTGAGTAAGAGCTGACTATTTAAAAAATAAGAAAATGTATGTAATATAATAATAATAATAATGATAATATAATGTATGTATGCTATAGAATGTGTTTAAAATGTAAAAATGCCACAAAGCTGTTTGAGTTATAAATAGACCAACAGATAATGTCTCCTTTTACAAGTGAGCAGATTTTATCTCATATATCATAATGTGAATGTGATCTGAACAAATGGAAGTTTATAACGTAACCTTTGACAAGCAGCCTATRAAGCTGCAGTTTATTGTTGAATTAGCACGTAGATAGTAGCTTCTATAGCATGTTGTTATAGAGTCTAGCAGTAAGTRAGCTGCACAGGCTGAATCATGCTACAATTTAGTACAACTCATTAAACACAAGATGGTATTGTACCTTTTAAGCTTAGGAATAGATTAGACACTGAACCACAGTAATTAGCTGCAACTAGCAGAGTCTACATATACAGAATGGACATGTTTAAAARGTTAGTTACAAATTCAGTTGAAGTCATAATTATTCACTTAGCTAAAAAGTCTTGAAAACTTTGGAAGTCAGTCATTGATTACTGACAGACTTCAGGTCAAGTTTAGAGTATTATTTAGTATTACATTATTTAGGGGTGCACAATACATCTGCATTAAYATCAGTATCAGCCCATTAAGTAAAACTGAGCTGATATTAATGTCCGATATGGATTTCCCATTTTTAATCTTTGTGTTTCAGTTTTGGGAGGGGAAGTTGTCAAGTTGTATCTGTTTAATCATGATAGTTTTAGTGAGACTGCACAGCCAGGAATAACTGAAGAGCCATGTCAGTGGTCTGGTCGTTTTTGTACGATATTAAAAAAATAATAAAAATGTGTATTTGTGTGTGTATATGAATATAAATATAAATAATTTGTGTGTTTGTGTAATATCGGTAAATATCGGATATCGGCCACAACAGCAATATTAATATCGGATATCGATATCGCCTGAAATGTTCATATCGGGGCATCCCTAATATTAATTTATTGTAAAGTGATTAAAAAATTGTAAAACTGTGACACAGATCCAGCTGGGCTTTATGTTAATTAGTTGTTAATCAGCTGTGAGTGGTTGTCCTGTTTGGACGCCATCTTAGCTTCATCGTGGTGTCCCAGGTGCAAACTATGGGAGGACTAGGCAGTGCACACTCTAGTTTTCTTATATAACTCTATGGCTCCACCTTGTTTAAGAGAAGCAGCATCAGTAACTTCATCTGACTAATCTTAGCCTGAACCTAAAACCCTGGAAACAACCAACCAGGACCAAAGAAAATGTTGCTGTGTCAGGGTAATTCCATTTTGGGAGGAGATAATTGCATGAAGGCTTTATAGCTGTAACTACCCGATAATGTTCAGGAATGTTAAGTATTATGAAGCTAGTTTGACTTAATGCTGTAAATGATTCAAGTTGTTTGAATTTGTAAGAGTCTACTAAGTGTGAATTCAGACRTCCTCTGGCTCCGAAACTGATCTATTCTGCTGAATAAAAGCACAAGTTCTCTTCAGCCAAACTTAAAAAACAGCAGTTTCTTTTCTTCATGTTTACCGTTATTTTGTGATCCACCTCGTGTATATGATATTTGATTTCACAGTTTTTTGGCAGGTCTTCAGGCCTCGTCCAGGACCAGGTGATGTTTACGATGAATGCGTCGAGCCATTTGTAAGAAAGCTGTGTTGGTGCAGGAAGGTGATGGTCTGTGGGGTCGAAATGGGTAAAAAGATCAATCAAAAAGTGCTGCAGTAGATCTAAAGCTCACCTGGGCTCATTTAGTTTTGACCAAAGCCAATTTAATTACACTTAAWGTTCTTCAGCAAGCTGAGCCACCCATTAGTGATCCAGTTTAATTTATTGAACTTATATTGTACCTTTAAAAAGCAGTAAGACTTATTGATCTATATTCTGCATTTGTTGGACAAATAACGGGGGATTTAAACTGTTTTTTTTTTATTTCTGCTCTATAAAACATTTCTTGTTACTGACAATAGTTATCCAATGTGTTATGTGAATACAGTTTTAAATGTTACATGTTTGAAGCATAAGAATAAAAGCAGTTTTAGRAAAACCCGTACAAAAACACATATGCTAGGGTCAATTCAAGGACCAGCAGWACATCATTTGTAGATAAGTGGTTCTCAAACTTATTCTTATTGTGTAAGCTCTTCAAGCACTGACAGTACTGACCCTTCAACAATGTTGTCAGTTACCAGCACACCTGTTAACCATTGTCCATTCACACTGGTTCATAAAAGATTCTTTATTACACCTGTGTTTTAAATTCTTTTAAACAGTTGACACACAAATACCAGAGTAAACAAGTAACAGTAAGTTGGACTTTACATGTTTAACTGGTCACAGTTTAGGTTTCTTTTTATATTTTGGACTCTCAACTCTACTTTACAATGAGCAAAAGTAATCTAAGCTTAGTTACTTTTGATTAATAAATAAACTTTACATAAATATAAACAGCCTGTTAACTGCAAGGTTATTAATTAAAAGTGTAAATTTATTATAAATGACTGATTTGGTATTCTTTATTAAAGGCGACCTATGACCTTTATGGTCAAAGGTTTTCTATTGCTAGTGACCAATGTGGGTGCAACGCCTACATTGGTGTTGTAAATATTAATAATAAAATATGTTTTAAATCAGCCTTGATCTTAAATACATTCATTAACAAAAAATGTTAGAAATAAAACTGCTGATCGCAAAAATGAACATTTCTTTGTTTTCTACGGAAGCCGAGAGTGGACGTTTTTCGCAGATAATTTTTTTCCACGGTTTTCTCATGATAATGACATTATGTCCGTCCGTCCCTTTTCTTCCACTTATCCGGGGTCAGGTCTCGGGGGCAGCAGCCTAAACAGAGAGACCCAGACTTCCCTCTCCCAGCCACTTGGGCCAGCTCCTCTGGGGGAATCCCTAAGTGTTCCCAGGCCAGCTGAGAAACATAGTCCCCCCCCCACCGTTGACATTATGTAGTTATCAATAAATAATGAGAGTTTTTCTCAAGATAACAAGATATGGTTTTCCTCTTGTGCATCGTTTGGTAAACATAGAGATGGACCAGTCCCAGCAGCTGGTCACAGATGAAGTTTACGATCATAAATTACAGTTTGTTTGTCTTGTACAGATGGTAAATGGACTGTACTTGTATTAAACTTTTCTATCCATCCAGGACACTCAAAGCTCTTCACACTACAATCTGTGTCCTCATTTACCCATTCACACAGCACTCTATTAGGTACAATCATCTATGGAGACTAATCAGTGCCAATCACATTCATACACTGATGGGACACACATCAGA